AGGTGGAAGCAGGTGGAAGCAGGTGGAAGACTGGACCTTCAACCACATTACACTCACTTCCAACAATGATGGGAATATAGTGTTTTTGCTGTGACGGTTAATGTTGTTAATTCCTTAGAATTTATAAATTTATTTATGAATTTATTTTTGTGAGGCCTAATGTTATTGTATTCTAGGGATTATCAGTAATCTCTACTATACTATTTTAAGATAGGTTCCACTTAAATCTTTCTGTATTTTTATGAGTCGTTTCTCTGTATTTTATACTGTAGTTTTCATTATAATTTGTATTTTGAGTCTAAACATTATTTTCTTAAAGTGAACAATACATTCCCCACTTTCACAAGTTGATAAAAATGCCCACCTACTGTATGTAACATGGGTTTGTATTGATTGAAAATGAATGCTGTATTCTCTTATCAATCTTCCCACAACAGTTGCCATCAATATGTGTAAGAATTCTTTAATGTGCGTGACCTAATCTCAGTGTTCTCAGTTCTCAGTATTCGTACTTTGCAATTCCCTTGTAGAAAACTAATCTTTCGTGGTATAGTTTATTCGGGTAATGTCTGCAAAACCGGATATTAATCCTCGTAACTAATTAAAATAAACTTCTATCTCAAAAAGCCTTGGCTAATTAGATCATGCTATAACAGCTGCTATCGAAACGGCGAAATTTGGGAATCAAAATGATTTTATATTTTGAGACTGTCTATTTGCAAGTATTGTTTATATTAATTCAATCTACCACCACGACTTTAAATAATAACAAAACCAATTGATGCACAAGATGCAGCTTATGAAGCAAGACTTTATTGATTGAATCTACAAACTATACAAGGTAAACGAGGTATGTTTAAACCAATAAAGACATGAGTATTGTTATGGTTCCAAGGCCTGTATCTCGCCTTCACCTCGTTTATCACTGAAAAACAATGACAAATTATTTAGTAATGGATTTTATTTGAATGTAACAGAAGGTTTAATGTTTGTGAATGTATTTGACAAACCTATATCTATGCATGTGAATGATTAACTCCAACAATTTGTATTTGCATAAATATAGCTTCAAATATTTTTTTTCGGTCAAATAAAGATATTTTGTCATGGAAAATTTAATTATTATGGTACACACATAATTCATGACAGTTTATAAATATTCATTGATTGTTTTGATATTCATTAACATAAATACTTCTAGTCTACTTATTCATTTGGTGTAGTAATTTCGGAATATCATACTCATGTTGTTCAACACTTCATGCACACTTGGGCACGACGATGGTATAAAACATCACATTCCTCAATGATACCTAAAAAGGTGTGCACACAATATAAATTTACCTAGGACAGATTTGTAGGGACATCGAATATTAAAAGATGGCTAGGTGAATGTTCCTCATTAATTGTAACGTATTGTTATGTGTGGAAGTGAATGAAATACATCGGTGATACTCAAGCAATTTTTCGACCAATCATTCTCCCAGAAAATTAATCAACTAACAAACAAACAAACAAAAAACAACCAACCAATTCAATTATCAATCAATATATCAATATTTAGAGTTATAAAATCCAGCACATGGAATAAACTAATATCGAAAATGTGTGCATATCCATGGGCATCAAAAAAACATTGTGTATTTCAACAATACGTTCAATACTTAGAACAATTTACCAACAAATTCTTCTCAGTAGGATCCAGTCATTGATTTGTTATTACTCTTTCAATAAATGAGTTTGACTATACTCTGGGGTATCATATAAGAGAGTTTGTATTTCTCCATATCTTTTGAACGATAGATGCAAAAAATTGCCGATGTTTCTGGTGTGGCATAATGCATTAGTTAGGCGTTAATCTATAAATATCAGATTACCTGATGATTACACATATTACTTTTGTTTATGACTGACGCAATTTTGTCTGATGCTGGCCACGTTTGCTTCAGTATTTGTCATACTTTATATAGGATATATCATATTGATTTAGGTTTCGTGATATTTAGTCTATAATTATGTACATTAATTGTATTTTCGGGGGCGTCGCTACGTCACAAGACGTTCCATGTTACTAAGACGCGCAGCACTGTAGCACGAATTTCTATGGGCTCTGCGCGCGCTGTTGAGGAACGCGGAACGCCGAGCGAAGAGCCGGTGAAAATTCAAGAAAACAACAGGAACTCAACTTTGAAGTAATTCTGAACAATGACATTTAAATGCGTTACACACGCATGGGTAATCTTGTTACACTGTTCAGGGGAGTCTTAACAACTATTCCGAAGTACCGTTTTCTGAGAGTTTTCGGCTTTTGTATTCACCGCGATAGTAGCCATGCGGTGAAAAATGCCCGGATGTCCGCCCGAGAATATAATAGTACACCATATGTAGTCTAATATTGATACATTTTTTATATTTGTGTGATTATTGGTCAAGTTTGATATATGATTGATCTTAGGCTGGCCACATTCAGTCAAGGATTCAATCACTTAAGTTCATGCTGCCAAATGCAATAGAAAACATAAGATTATAAGCATTGTTTGCTTACGAGATCAAGTTCTGTCCAGAAGGTAACACAATATCATCCTGGTTTATAAATTGTATTTCGTCATCTTGTTTTTTCTCACTGAAAAACAAAGAAATATTATTAGTGATTGCTTTCATTTGTATATAACATTCTATAATATACTTCTGACAATTTTTGTTATTCATCTCTTGAAAGAAAGTGTAATGTTTGTGTATATATTGCTCATATTTGGGTGATTATTGATCAAGTATCACATCTAATCAAAGATGCTTAGCTTATACACATACATACAAATATTTGCCATGTAGTGTAAACCATGAATGAACAAAAAAAAGGAACAATTTGAAAACAAATCAAATTCAAAAAACACCTCCAAAATTGCGTCTACTGATCCATGGATTGTATTCTATATTATTTCGTTTTTCATTTCATTTAAAGTCTGAGAGTATGTATCTGAATTTAAAACAAATTAAATTATACAAATAAGTTATGGATTTAATGGATTACGAACAACTTTTAATACAAGTTTTAATATTTTTTCAAAACATTATGGAAGATTCAAACAAATTTAAAATACCAAGGTAACTGGCTAATATATATACTGTGTAGTCAGTTTCATGCAATATTTATTACGTTGTTCAATCTGAATTGTAAATGTAAAAAAATATTTTGATCTTAATAACACATATTTGACAGTGTTAATCTATTTCAAGTCATATACATACAAGTTATGCGGCTATCATGCTCCATATTTTTAATTATGCATTGACAACAACAATATCAGTGTTGACAATTGTTAGCAAGCATTGCATAAGGGTCCATAGTTAACTGACATGAGCCAATGTACACTATTAGGTCAGAGTCCAGAAATATAATACGCATATATTAAATTTTCTTATTTTAAAATTTAAGTAATTTATGAAATAATATCAAAATGTGTTATACATGAGAAACCACAGTTACTTACACGATGTCGCCCGTGAATGATCGGAAGTTTCGTCGTCGTCCACAAGTACCACCATCAATTAACATGGCCACAATGAGTAACACGACCAGAAGCAACACTAGTTTCTTCATATTGCACAGACAATAGTACGAAGTATGATTAGCAGCGATATACGGACAGTGGTTATTGTTTTTTGCGTTCCTGTTTATAATGAAACATGTATGGGAATAAAGACATAATAGAGATATGACTTACATGTCGGCTCACTTTGACATTAGAGCAAGTAGAACAAACTGACGACTCCTAGATTTACAAGTGTATAAATCAGAATCTAGTCTCTGACATAGAATCATGTTCTTGTATTCAAGTGTAAAACTAGCAAATTATTCTTTCTATTTTCTTACTCAAACAAAAGAAAGTCTATTATAGCCATCTCAAGGTAAATTTGAATGTTTATTCCATGACTGCACAGAAGGTATACTGAGAATTTTACTGTTGTTTATTCTGTTGAATTTATGACGAGTTGACATAATTTGTTGACCTAACAAACATCATATCAGCATATTTTAGCAAACGAACAATATATCATAATATTTTGGGAAAAATAACGAGAAATATGTTTGTGAGGCCTAATATTGTCCCTCAAATTATTTCATTGTATTTGAGGAATTATCAGTAATCCCTACTATACTATTTTAAGATATGTTCTAATTAAATCTCTCTGTATTTTTACAGGTTGTTTATTGTCAAATGTTATTTATTTTATGCAGTATTTTTATTGTAATTTGTGTTGTAAGTCATTACATCATTTTCCTAAAATGAACAAAACATTCTCGGCTTTCCCAATTTGATGAACATGCCATCAACATGACCAGGCTTGCGTGTGAACGCATGATTGTTGAATCCAGTTCATGTACCCACGGCAACATTGTAAAACTACACGCGAATATTTGAAGGTCCAGAATATTGTTTTATTATTGCTGCACACATATTAACTTCTGAAAACCCGGTCAGGCATAAATAACAAACTCAAAAATGTAAATTTTCAAAAACTATGAAAACAAGAAAATACGAATAAGTTTTTAGGATTTTTTAAAATGCCATATGGTTGCATTGTGAGTATCAATCACAGTAATGCGATTTTGTCATGTGATAATAACTCCGTCTAATATAAAAAATTGCAAATAATGCTGAATAAATTAGATATACACACATTGACTGAACAACAATTAATATTTAGGAACAAATCAACAAGAAAAACGTTTGACTGCTTACCTGTTCTATTGAGTCGATTTGTTAACACAAAGTACCATGGGATAGCATAGTAAAGCCGTCATCTGTAACACGGATCGCTATTGGTTGAATACGGACATGTATATTTTATTCCCTATTCGTCCGTGTCACAGTAAGAGGTTCTCATGCCTAATTTGTTACTATAGTAATTTAAATAAGCAAACGTCGAAGGTGTGTTTAAGAAATGCCGCAGGAATTTCAGCCAGAATTTCAGGCTAGAGGCCTGAGGACTGTTCACTTCTGCACAGTTTCCCTTGATATGAATTATGCATGCAAGCGAATGACGTCACTCGGTTTTAACAATAAGCGGAGCATGGCCCGGTTCACTTCCTATTTAGAGGTCAACAAAATGAAGGTCACGGATAAGGTGGGAAACGATTTCCCAATACTTCCCGTTTAGCTCGTCCACTTTTCACTGTATCCGACTAGTTTCATTGAGGGCGCAGTTCTAGGTGCCAAAGTCAAGAAGTGCGTCAGAGTCGTAGCATACAATATACAATGGATGCACAGCCTGGCTTGTATTCCCTCACCTACCAACCACCCCTTCATTAAAAGCATCGCCGAATCCGCAAAGCAACTGATCGGCAAACCATGATTCACAGCATTGTTGAACTCTTTAAGCATTCTGTTTTTTTACTTGACATCAGAGATTTGTGTACATTTTTACTAGCATTCGCTGGTTTCCTTTGATACAGTAACCTTATAAGCATTAAGAGATTCGTTATGTTTTCTTTAAATCGCATATTGGTACACATGTATTACTTTTAGAGCTTGTAGGAATGATCTGTATAAACAGGACAGTATCGTCAATATTGCTAGCACTGGTAATTCCACTTGGTGCCCAGTAGCAAAGTTGATCCAGTATCTCAGTGTCGTAGGTATCCCTGACGTGTCAGATTATTTTATTTTTAGGCCGTTATATTTATCAAAAGTTGTTTACATGTCAACAGAAATATTAGCTATTCACAAGTAGGAGAAATTATTAAAGCTGCAATCAGCATTGGCGAGGTCCAAGTAGAATTATCAGAAAAGTTAACTGCAGATACTCATTGAAATGGGGTGTTGATACCAATACCCCTGCATAATGAAGTGTAAACATGTTCAATATTTCTTTATATTCAACATCAGCATAACCATGTGACTGATAACAATTTTGGGGGTACAATTAGGGTGTATTGCTTATGCATATTTATGAGGTTACATGATCATGTATGGCCATTTCGTATGTCAGTCACATCTTTTGTTTGATGTCTTCATCATGGCACGGGTTACATGTTCCGTTCTCCAACAGTGTTACAGATATGACAGTTATGCATATTAATGAACTCACATGACCATATATGGTCATCTGTTATTTTAATCAAATCTCGTGTTCAACATTGTCATAATAACACAGGATTCATCTTACTAACTGCACCAGTGTTTGAAACATGACAGTTATGCATATTAATGAGCTTACATGACCATATACGGTCATCTGTCATTTAATCAAACCTCTTGTTCAACATTGTCATAGTAACACAGGATTCATCTTTCTAACTGTAAATGTAATGAGTTAGAAGCCCACACCCCATGGGCGCCCAGCCACAGAACCTAGCCATGTGCCATTCAGTTGAAACAATGTATCTTAAGATTAGAATGCACGTACAAATTTTCACCCCAATCGAACCAATACAATACATGTAATTGCCCATTTCCCGTTTTCACAAAATCCAAGATGGCGGCCAAACCATGTAAAGAATCGAAATTTTATTATTTTTTTCATATAAAGCTATGACCAGACATACATATTTATTTAGTTGATCTGTGGAAGCAATTTTGAGAAACAATTGCCTAAACATTTGATCTTTTTTTCCTATAATCCAAGAATGCGGCCAAATCACGCGACTTATCGAAAATATAATATTTTTCTGATATGCAGCTATGACCAGACATGTTAAATACAAAATCGGCAGTTAATTGATTGAAGCACTAATGAAAAAGAAATGTGCACATTTTTGGTTATTTTTGTTTTATTTGTTTTGTTTGATACAAAATGGCAGCAAAACCACTGGATTAACCACTGGAACATTATGCCAAATTTCATGTCAATCGGTCTGCAAATTTATGAAAAGAAGATTTTTCAACCCAGTCATTGATATTATTTTGTTTTGACAATAAATAAGCGCCAAGGATTGTTTTAAATATGCATTTTACACTAGATTTGAGAGAAATAGGTTTTACCACGGGTTGGGATTAGTAATTTGTTGTCTATAATTATTCACATTGTTTGTGTGTAGTGATACAATATAATTTGTTTACTAGTCAATAATAATGTATTGGTCAAATCGTGTATATTATCGTCCATAATTGGCTGATTATTGAGCATGTTTGTTATATAATTGGTATAAAACTGACTGCATTCCATTCAAAGATTCAATCAAGTTGCATACGTAACAGGGAACATACGTCTAACAATATGAGCATTGTTTACTCACTAGATTACCATTGAACAATTCTCTCTAATAACTATTTTTTCTTCATATAAATATATTTGCCCTATAGTGTCAATCCAAACATGGGCAATCAAAATATGACAGTACCTCCTACAATGTTTCCACTGATCATATTTTTTTGAAATCGGAGTGTGAGACCATGAACTTGTACCTTATTTTATTTACTCTTCTTTATTCCTTTTATTTATCTTGTATGTAACATTATTTTTAAACAAAATATAATGTATGCTGTCCTTTACAAAGTATCAGACTCAATACATTTGATATGATCAGATATTGGAGAAGCGCCCTCAAGTGGTGAACTATTTACAGGCTTCATCCCGATATGGCGTCATTCTATGTAGGTCAGTGTTGTTTTCATAAGCAGATTGAATTCAGAGAACACTTGGATGTAATTTTGAGGATCCCATATCTCATATTTTTCCCAGTTATTTATATTTGTTGATATATGTGTTTAGCTTGTATTCCAATGTATAGCGTACTGTTGTCACTGACAACCCAAATTATTATAGATTTATTTAGACATTTCCGGATGAATGATCTGCTGGCACAGTGATGCCAGGTAGCTAAAATGCATTGGAATGCATGCTTTCTATTCCGAAACTATGATTTTGTGACCATTAAATACATGCATATTTGCAGTGCAGATTTTCCACAACCTGTTAAGTGAGAATTCTTTATTAAAGTATTTTCGGTATTTTTACTTTTGACCTCAATATGGCGTCATTCTATGCAGGATTTGCTATTGGCGATGGCACAAGCCAATAAATAACGTCCATTACCTCCAGACCTCTTGAAGTCCTATGTCCGTTATTTATTTATTTATTT